GACACACGTGTGCGCGTGTGAGTGTGCGTGGGGCACGCTCGCAGGTGCGCTCGGACACACGTGTGCACGTGCGCTCGGACAGACGTGTGCATGTGCGAGCGGACACACGTGTGCATGTGTGAGTGTGCGTGGGGCACGCTCGCACGTGCGCTAGGACACACGTGTGCATGAGTGAGTGTGCGTGGGGCACACTCGCACGTGTGCTCGGACACACGTGTGCGCATGTGAGCGTGTGTGGGGCACGCTCGCACGTGCGTTCGGACACACGTGTGCGCGTGTGAGTGTGCGTGGGACACGCTCGCACGTGCGTGTCATGTGTTACGTGTGTGAATCGGGCTAAATCGGATGGGAACCCGACGGTTCCACTCTAGAACCGGGCTGAGCCGGATGGGAACCGATTGTTCCACTCTAGAACCGGGTTGAACCGGATGGGAACTGGCGGTTCCACTCTTAAACCGGGCTGGACCGGATGGAAACTGGCGGTTCCACTCTAGAACCGGGCGGTTCCCAGTTTTCGGTTGGAAGAGGCACGGGCACGCGTGTTTCCGAGTCGAACAGGGCGAGTTAGGTTCGACTGGCTGTTTTTTAAAACACTGGTTCTGTCTAGGTATAGAAAGGTATCCATACATCATCATCTTTGGTACGTGCCGTGAAGTCAGTAACTATACCATAATGCTCGAAATTTTTAGGGAAATTTGGTATCCTTGTAATTAGTAGTATTTGAAACATTTACATTATATTTTATATTTTATTCATATCCTTGTTTTTGGCACTTCTTTGATCTTTTTCAAAAGGAAAAAATTTATATGAGGATGCAACCGTATAACGTAGAACTACGGTTACACCTCAAAAATCCATTAGAAAATTTAGTTTTAATGTTGAAAAACCCTTGGATTGATCATCTCGATATCTAGATGTATGACCATAAAAAAATAAAAGGATTTTAAGTCTCATAAATAATGCATTTTACAACATATTATCCACATCGTCTATTTTCAAGATTTTTCATATGTTTATAGATCAATTTGATTTTAATTATTTTTGAAATTTAAAAAATTTATAATTAGATATAGAAATAAATTTTAAGATAATTAGGCATTTTACATCAAAATTATAATCCACGATAAAGTTTGAAGGTGCACCTTACCTCTACAAGATGTCCATATACCAACTGCACACTTTCCAAAATATCCCTTAATCTTAACTATTAGCTATGAACAACTCTTAACAAGGGACTTGGACTAATTCTAAGGAATAAGGAATCAAAATCGTTAGGAGCTATTAGTTCCAATGATTTAAAAAACGCCGAGTTGACGTAATATCGTTCGGTCCAACCTATGAATCAATCACCTAGTTCTGATTCTGTGGGTATATAGGAAAAGGGGTGAATCTAGAAGGAAACCGATAGTTCAACATAATAAATTTCGATTTTCTATAATAAAACTATGATCCGGACCCGCTGATTCACCTATGGATCGGTTTTTGGCAAGTTCATTGGGTTTGTATGTAATTTTTTGTCGATGTATTGTTTTTTTCACACAATTATACAGCGACCGCTAATCCTCCAATCTGAATAGGCTTTTGGGGTGCCTGATTTGGATAACCGATACATTTTTCAAATCACTAAGTAGTTCTACACGGCTCATTGTAGGAAATGTTATGGAATGCTTATTGTAAGGTGTCGAAGCGTTCTAGTACGTAAGTGGTTCAAAAAGATTAGTTCCGTTCAATTCATTTAAGTGGCGTGGAACTATTTATTTCAAATTGCTTTGAATCATCGTCCACTTCATTCCTCATAACGAGTGGTGTAGAACTATTTATAAAATATGTAGATATATTTTGAGAACCGGTAGTTATAAGGGCTAAATTTCCCAAATTTTTATTTAAGTAAGAAAGACCTACTATTCCAACTAAAAGTATATTAAATATTTTTATTTATACCATAATTTTCATATAAAATATTTTTATTTAAAATATACTTTTTTCAACATCCTGGAATAAGTCTACAAAATACTCTTGCGGGAGCATGAACGAATTAAATTTTCGTTCCTAGGAATTTGGTTCGGGGATTTCAACCAAAATACATGCAACCTTTTTTCTTTTTTTTTTGGTACAGTGTGTATAGAGCCGAGGCTCTAAACAATCAAAGTAAAACACACCTTGATTTCAATACTGAAAATCTTTGTAACAGCTTTAAAATATGTTTTTATCTTCAATTATAAAATTTAAAGCATTAAAAATAGTGTAGATCGAATAGATTTATGAAAATTTGAAAATCTTGAACGCTACCAAGAGCCCAGCTTCAATCTACATGAATTTGGAGGACCTCCTGAATTCAATAATTAAATCAAGCTCCCCTTCATCATATTATTCGCTCTCTTCTTGTAGGACATTAAGTTGTGCATTTTGAATGCTCAAATGGTTGAACAAAACTAGAAATAAGGAAAATCCAAAAAACGTCAAACGTGAACTACCAAGGAGAATGAATGGACAAAATTAAAATCACTTTTATCCCATGAAAGGAAGGCAAGACAGCAATGAGAGGATCCCCATAACCAACAGCTTTTCCTTTCACAATTCTTCCAGTTCGAAATTTCCCAACCTGAACTTACAAAACCAACACAGATATCAAGACATAAATTTACAATGGAAAGAGTGAAAATTTTTTTCTTTGAAAATTTAATTATCTAATTGATCATACAGTTGGAGAAGCCACTATAACATATGCATTTGATCCATCACTTTGACACTTCTGCGGAAACATTAGAGAATGGACTGGAAGCAACTGGAGGGCCTTTTGTGTGACAGATGGAGCAGTAGCAGGAGCCAATTCAACCATGGGTTTAGTTGGAACTGGCGGAGGAGTTGAAGGTGACACAATAGGGGAAGGAGCAGGAACCTTTGTATTTCCAATGTTCCGCCTCAGGTGCATTTCAAAGTCTCCAACCTGCACCAAAGTTAGGTA